CATCATACTTAACAAGCGGATAGAGTCTGGTGTTAGCATGTTGCTAACTTAGCAATACAATAGAATGAAACAACAGAGCACACACAAATAATGGATAATATAGTCTGTTTTTAAATTTGATTTTTTGCAATACCTTCTTGCAAGTTTGCAACCAAATAGTCAATGTATTATGTTTTTGAAGAAGGCACTTATGGTCACCAAGGATGCATTTATTTGATCAAAATACAGTAAAAACAGTAATAGTGTGAAATATCACAATTTGACATGACTGTTTTCAATTTTAATATGTTTTGACGCAATTTTTAATACATAATACAGACCTTAAACCTTTGAAATGGTAGTGTATGTATTCCTTTATGTTCCTCCTCTCAAATCAGGACTTTTAGAGAGGGAGGAAGTGGGCCACAACTATAGTCATCACTTTCCTGTGACCCAGGCCTCTTCTCTCCCTGTGGCCATCTGTGATATCAACATAACCAGTGTATGGGAAAGATTAGATCACCGAGGAAAAATCTCATCCTTGTTAAAAGATTAATCTGAGGAGACATGTGCGCCGGGAAAATTTGAGACACGGAACAATTCCGATTCGGCCTTCTCTTCTACTTAAGACCGGCACCTATCTCTCCCTCATTTCCTGTGGTTGGGAAATGTGGGAGAAGGTGGCACGTTATCATGACCTGAATATCGTGTGCGTGAGTGTGTGTTTACATGGACGTGTGAGCATTCTCATCCATCATTTCAGAGTCCTTATCCTCCATATCCCAGCGCACATCCCTCCACTTCCTGTTATTTGCCTCTCCTAATGCCGCCCTCCCCAGGCTTCTGTTTTCACCTCATCTTTCGCTTTGATATTTATTTTTAGCTAGTGCCGTCCTCATGAATTTTGGCAGGGCAGATACACTAGGGCTCATCGGGACCAGGCAGGGAGGTTATGGAGCTGAAGGGGAAGTTCCTTTTTGCCCAAAGTAAACTGACTCACCTCAGGGGCAGCTGCTGCCTGTGGTCTGAACCCAACCATAATGAGCACGGCTAGTCAGGAGGTCAGTGTATTAAAAGGCCTCTCTGACAGGACATGTTAGTGCTCAGAAGCCTCCTGGAACATCACCAGCTTTCATTTTATTAGTTTACGCCAGGACACGGTGGTTTTTACAGACCTGGGTGGCCCGTGTGTTCGTGGAATACATCACATCTCCATTGCTTTTGATGGTCAAAATGACAGAATTAAGAGTTGTATGGCAGACCATGGGCATTGCACCGTGTGTGTGTGTGTGTGTGTACTACTGTCAGGTACACAGGCTTCTTTCTACAGCTGTGATGTCACTCTGGATAGAATCAGGTCAGCCAGTTCCTCCAAGGAACCGAATAGAACACAACGAAACAGACAGAAAGAAAAAGAGAGGCTTTGTCAGCGATTGAGAATCTGATAAGAGAAAAAGCAAATTCCCAGTAAGCCCAAGATGAAAATAGAAAGTTGCACCCTTTCAGTTAGAAGAACAGAGGCGTGATTTTATAAACAAATGTGCTGCATTTTAAGGCTTCTGATGCAATTATACTAGCCAAATGCATGTCACATGCATCTTTTACAAAGAGGACAATCCCAGAATGCATTGTGAACTTAGTGGGAAATACAACATATCTCAAAGTGAGAATGGACTCTATACATGACCGCTTTAACCGCAATGGCCGCTGCAACTTATTACTATCACGCTATGTTTTAATATAATATGCTAAAATATTATGTTTACTATAGTTAATAATATATACAATATATTTTATTATAATATAAGTTGTAATTGACAGTAAATGTGTGATTGGCTACTTGGGCAGTTTGCTATGGGAGAATGCTTGCTAGGGCTGGGCAAAAAATATCGATATCTCGATATTAATCGATTCTTATTTTTACGGAACGATATCGATTCTTAACTCCCAAGAATCGATTAGTCAAGCCTGTTTTCAGATAATGGACGGAACATTGAAGGGCACTTCCCATCCAATAAATCGCAATAAGCATTGTACTTTGGTACTTTTAATATGAAACAAAGTCTCAGATTTCAAATTCTGTCCATTGTATTGCAGTATTTAAAACTTAAATTCCGTTTTGACGCTGTTTAATGTGGAGTGACAGATCGCTGGAGCGCCTCAGTTCAACAGACGCGGCAGAGCGAGGCGCACGTGAACTGATCATCTCCTCCACATTAATACCAGTTTCAGCACAAAATAAACATGACTAAACATCCGAAGGTAAGTTAAAAGAAAGAATACAACTTTACAATCCGTATCCTGTCTCATGCTATCGCTCAATCTGTGTTTCAGCCATGCAAAGACGTCAATATAACGGCTTCTAAACAATGTCACATAACGTCACATTTACCTCAGAAAAAAAATATTCGGTGACCATAAACTCATTAGTCAGATGGAAAAATAAACTGTACAGAGGGGCATTTTGCTTAATATACAGTATGCACCATATAACATATTCATTATATTTTTTACTGTTCTTCAATGTTTAATTTGTTTGAATAAATCCATAAATTGTTTATGACAGCCACCATTTAAATGTTTATATTTCAAAAAAACGAATTGAAGTAGAAATATTATTATATAACCGTAACTTTATTATTGTAAAAACGTCATTAATTTTAACCTTCAATATTATAGTAATGTAGTACCAACTGACTCTCATGTATATTTGACAACATTAGTTGAGAGATTTTTTTCCTTGAGAAAATTTGGCATGTACTGTACCTGATATATATCCAAAATAATCAATATTGAATCGAATCGAATCGAATTGGTAAGCGAATCGAATCGCAAGCTTGTGAATGAGAATCGAATCGAATCATGAAATTTGTGTCAAAACCCAGCCCTAATGCTTGCATAGAGCGCATTTTAGCGAAAATATGTGGGCAGTTGGCATGCATAGTCTATTATCAATTAATGAAAATTATCAGGAAAGAAGTTAAATATTATTTGTACTTTTACTCAAAACTTGTGTGAGCAAGGTATATTTATGCTTATGCTATCACATTGTTAGCTTAGCAACATGCTAACGCCAAACTCCACTTGTGCACTTCATGTTAAAAGTTCTATTTTTATTTTGCTACCTACATAGAGCGTTCCAGATCAATCCCTAATGAGGTTCTGTTTCAGTTAGCATGCTACCGTAGAAGGTAACCATCTAAGAAGACTTTAGGCAGCGATGCAGCTCACTGGATTTTGGAACAGATCCAGTGAGTTTTTGTATATTAGAGGTCATAGAGAAAATGAGAGGGAGGAAAAGAAAGAGAGGCACAGGGAGGATGTGTTTGACACACACTTCACCACTGACACACTAGTAGGGTTGCCAACCGTCCCGTATTAGCCGGGACGTCCCGTATTTTGGGCCTAATTGATTTGTCCCGTACGTTACTTCCCTTGTCCCGTTTTTTTGACTGCTACGCTGATCTAACCCCTGACTGATACAACAGCAGCAGTGCTGATCACTTGAGAATGATCACCGATACCTGTCATCATCCAATCACAGCCCCCCTCACGCAGTATACGTTAAGTAAATCAGAAATCGTGAACATAACTGTTCGAGGAAGGCTGCGCAATCCTCTGCCGGCTCGTCGCTCCCGCCTCACAGCAAGCGGCGCTCGCGCTAAAGCCAATTCCGTCCGTGTTTTCATTTCAGTAAATCAGTTTTGGTGAATACAAACTACGTGATTATTTTTCATGAGTCCAACATCCCGCCACGCAAGAGACGTGATCAGTAAGGGAAGTCGTCTTTCACTATTGTAATGTTGTTAAATAGAGAAAAACATTTTATATTTAAGTAACTAATATCATAATTTTTAACCTTGGACCTTATTCTTGAAACACAAAATGACCAATAAAAAGGTGTCAAGCACCAAAAGCAGCCCATATTAAATCTATAAGCTGTCTTTAATTGAAAAATACGCATTTTCATGCATAGGCTACTATGTGTGTGTGTATACACGGTCACTCACCCCCCAACCCCCACCCGCCTGTAAGGTGATTGTCCCGTATTTTCATTTTCTGAAGTTGGCAACCCTACACACTAGCACACGTGGCTACCACTAACCCTAAGACATTCTCCAGTCCGCTGCCTCGATTTGTCAATACACAGGAGGCTTTGACCATCTCAGCTGCCGGTATGAGATATTCATCCTCCCTCTCACTCCGTTACCACAGATTTGACCTAACAGGACTCACTTCCTGAACCAGCTGCACTTGATTGATGGCCAGAATTAATTATTTGTGGTGCTTGCTATCACTATCACATCATTTATATATTACAATTCAAAAGTTTAGGGTCAGTGGGGGTCAGAAGTTAAAGATTTTATTCAGAAAGAACATTTAGACATTTGACATTTAGAATGTCACAAAAATGTTATTTCGAATTAATGCTACTTTTCTGAAATTTTGAAAATCAAAGAATCCTGAAAAAAAAAATGTATCATGGTTTCCACAAATCTATCAAGGAGCACAACCGTTTTTAACATTGACAAAAAATACTTCTTGAGCATCAGATAAGCATATTATAATGATTTCTGAAGGACAGTGTGACGCTGAAGACTGGAGTAATGATGCTGAAAATTCAGCTTTGCCATCACAGGAATAAAATACATTTTAAAATATATAGAAAGTAGTTATATTAAATTATAATAATATTTACAGTTTACTTCAGTTTTTTTTTTTTTTTTTTTGCTATTTTTTGATTAAATAAATGCAGCCTTGGTGAGCAAAAAGATTTATTTCAAACACATTAAAACATTTTACTAAATCTCTAAACTTCCCACACCATTTGCATGCTAAAAAACACAGTTCACCTGTTAAACACCCTAGCATTATGATGTCAAGTTTCATCTGTTTGAGTACCACAGATCTAGGGATTGTCATGAAGAATTAAAGGTGTATTTGTGAATAGGATGTATCTGTAGGAAGCATTGTCCAAAGCTGTCTAAATACTAACTGTGTGTGTTTTCTCCTCCAAACAGGCAGGAGGCGCTATTGGCAGCCATCAGCGAGAAGGACGCCAACATCGCTCTTCTAGAGCTGTCGTCCTCAAAGAAGAAGAAGACTCAAGATGAGGTGGCTCTGCTGAAGAGGGAGAAAGACCGACTGGTACATCAGCTCAAACAGCAGGTGAGAATATCCAACAGGCTGGACATCGACATCCCAGACCAAGGCACGAGGCAAAACCATAGACTAAAATGAACACAGACCTCAGTCCTCCTAGTTTCCTAGTTGAGTTCTGCAGCCTCACCCACAGGAATTACATTGGTGAAACTTAACCAGACATTCGTCAGCCTAAAAAAAAAATTGTCCCACCTCAAAGGGACAATTTAGACTTTATAGCTCAAGTAACAAACATTTTTGTTTCACTGACGAATTGTGTTTTAACCCAAATAGGAGCCTCGCTTTTCTGCTTTTGAACTCCCTGACTCTCTTTCCCTCCAGGCTCTCATTGTGTTTTACTGTAAAAACACTTTGCGTTTGTTTTTACAGACTTAAGAGACGAGTCAAAATTATCGTGCGTCACAATTGAAAGCATGCCACAGATGCTGTCCATAGACGTTAAAGTTGACAATAACCCGCAATATTCTCTTAAGAGGGGCACGATTGCGCAGAAATATAAGATCACACAGGATATCCTGATGGTGTGTTCATAGTATCGGTAACCAGCTGACCTTGCTGTCGTAGTTCTGTTCAGCAGTTCAAGGAGAGGCTAAAGAACAAGTTCTGGAGGAGACATGGGAACGAGATCCCAGAGTTTGGAGATGCAAACAGGCTACAGATGTCTGGCCGCAGACCCGTCAAGAAGGGCAATTTTAGGATTATTTGACTCCTCCTCCAGGTTCCCACAAACCACCTGCGAATGCATGCACACTAGTTTATACACACACAGACTGCACTGGTGTAGATACAGTTTTCATTTAGAAATTGTTAGTAAATCACGAATATTCTCTTAAGAGGGGCGTGATTTCTCAGATATATAAGATCATACAGGATATCCTGATGGTGTGTTCATAGTATCGGTAACCAGCTGACCTTGCTGTCGTAGTTCTGTTCAGCAGTTCAAGGAGAGGCTAAAGAACAAGTTCTGGAGGAGACATGGGAACGAGATCCCAGAGTTTGGAGATGCAAACAGGCTACAGATGTCTGGCCGCAGACCCGTCAAGAAGGGCAATTTTAGGATTATTTGACTCCTCCTCCAGGTTCCCACAAACCACCTGCGAATGCATGCACACTAGTTTATACACACAGACTGCACTGGTGTAGATACAGTTTTCATTTAGAAATTGTTAGTAAATTTCACAAATAATTACACTGTAAAATGATTTTGCATAGAGTAAATAAAACGGAGATTATTGGAGTACGCTTTGAAAGAAAATATTATTTGTGACCCTGGACCACAAAACCAGTCATAAGGATACATTTTTTGAAATCGAGATTTGTATATCAACGAATAAATAAGCTTTCCATTGATGTATGGTTTGTTAGGATAGGACAATGTTTGGCCATATAGATACAACTATTTGAATATCTGGAAATTAAAATACTGAGAAAATTGCCTTAAAAGTTGTCTAAATGAAGTCCTTAGCAATGCATATTACTAATCAAAAATTAAGTTTTGATATATTTGCGGTAGGAAAGTTACAAAATATCTTCATGGAACATGATCTTTATTTAATATCCTAATGATTTTTGGCATAAAAGAAAAATCGATAATTTTGACCCATACAATGTATTGCTACAAATATACCCATATGACTTGTGACTGGTTTTGTGGTCCAGGGTCACATTTAATTCATTCTACTCAACTTGGTTTGTTACTTGTCATTTCTTTGTAATTGTCCGTGAAATTTACTAGCAATTTATGAGTGAAAATTGTTTTTACGCCAATTTCACATGCAATGTGCAAAGAAGCGGCATTGAATTAAACTTAAATTTAAATTGAAAGACCGAAATAGTACTTTCGAAAGTTTAATGCAGTGTAGCTGCCACTCATCCAGATGAGTTTAATACGCCAATTAAAATGCACATGTATTTCGCATTCTCATTTCCAATACAAACTGGCCACACACATGTGTACCAAACCCAGCGGCCACAGAAAAACAAACAGAGCAGGAGGACCAACACGCACATCCTCACTTTAGCTCCATTCATTCTCACGGACACACGCTCGCGCCGCTGGAAAATACCCCTCCCTGGCTGTTTCTCTGAATGACAGGCTATCAGCGTGTTGCATAGCTGCAGCATTCCACAGGAAATGGGTGTCAGTAGTGCAGATAGCTGTGGGGCTCAGCTCTCACCCACAGCCCTGAGATCAGGAGGGCAGCCGCGTCCCCCTCCTGCTCACTGTCAATCACAGCGGGGGGGGATTTGGTTAAGAGCCGGTCAGAGACCGGTTGCTCTCCTGACATACTAATGGTTGAGGTCAGCGATAAAGGTTGCACGCGGTGGTCCTAAATCAGGTCTTTTTGGGCAGCTTTACTTCAGGGTCAAAGTTAGGAGCCAACATTGGAAAGGTTAAGGACCCTCAGTTCGCCTGTCCCTCGTGGACACGTTTTTCCGCTCTTAATTCATAGCATTACAAGCAGTCGTTTGGCATTATTTGTAATTTATAATCATTAAGATTGCAATTTCTGTTCTTTGGGAAATGGATGGCCATAACAAGCCCAAAGGTGTTTGACGTGGCCCAGGGGAAGGGCGAGTGCTGTCTACCTTTGCGGCCTCTGGATTAGGGTTGGGGATCAGGGTCGTAGGGTTTGACTGACAGGGGATGAGTGTGACATAGTGGTATATAAATGGAGTATTTTTCTTTCGTTTTTTTGAAGAGACAGATGTGCATAAAGATGCAGGGCTGATAATGGTTCGGAGGAGGGAAAATTCCTGGTCATACTTGTCAAGTCTTGTCAAAAAAATAAATAAATGGTGTCAAAAGTGTGGCCTTGCACCATGTCATAATCAGCTGCAGTGTGATAGTGTCAAATGATGCAACAAATTCATTTAACAAAATATATCGCGTCCATACTCCTTTTTGTCCTAACCAGCTTTGATTAAAAGTTTGAATGAATATTTACATTTTCACTTAATTTTTAATATAAGGCTTCCCAAAAAATATTTTTTGGTGGTCTCTAAAGAATAGTTAATATTTAATGGACTGCTTTAGTTAAAAAATAAAAAATAAAAAAAACTATTTTTTTTTACTTATTCAAAAATTACTTGAATTATAATTTTTTTTCTATAATGACTTGTATTTCATGATATGTTACTAAAATGCTTGATACTGTAGCATTGTAAGCGTTTATTATTATTATTATTATTATATGAAACATACAGTATATACATAATTATAAATTCTACAGGAAGTTGTGTTTATATATATATATTTACATTTTTATTTCATTTTTAATATACTGCTTCCCCAAGAAAAATGCATTTTGGTGATCTCTAAAGAATAGTTCATATTTCATGTACTGTTTTAGTTAAAAATTTTTTACCCATATCACTTAAATTAAAAAAATACTTGCATTATTAATTTTTCATTATTACTTGTATTTAATGTTGAGATATTACAGAAATGCTTGACACTGTAGCATTATAAACAGTATATGAATTTATTATACATTCTAGTTCTACAGGGAATGTTAAAATAGTTGGTATCGGTCATTTTCTAGTCTCTCTCTATATATTAAATATCAAATATCTTTCATATCATTTATTAAATATCAGTTATCTGCTCGGCTATGTTTTGTCACTTTGTCTAGCATTTTGCAGTTGGACAGACTGACTTGGAAAAAAGCCTTTAAAACTCATCCTGTCAATGCTGGTTAGGATGAAGTGTAATATAGTACTGAAAATGAAAATTTGTGCAAATTTTATCCTAAGAAACTTCAGCCAATCACGTGGCTTCTCGCTTGTTTTATTCCACTAGAGCAGGTTTGGATGTACTCGGTGTGTGATAAATGGAGCCCGTCATCATGTTTAAATTATATTTTCTAGACGACGAGCAGATGGGACTATTTGATGTCTAACAAAATGCTGCATAATCAACAGCCATTACTGCGATACAGAGATTTGAAGCGAAGGAAATGAACTAGAATGAAACTGCCAAAAAGGAAAGATGAGAGAAAATGAGCAGGGAAGTTTTTAATAACAAAGAGAGTGGCGAGAGGAGACATCCCGTATCTGTTTTTGTTTTGGGATGCATCACTCTTCAAGATATTTCTGATGTATTTTAGGGAGAAAACGAACTCTCTTTGTTCTTTTCTTCCTCCGTTTTGTTCTTTTTCCTCTCTGGTCTCCGTCTGTGTGTCTGTCTGCCTCTGTGATGATGACAGTGTAAAAATAGGACTGACGCCTGGTGAGCGTCGTTTGAAGCGGCGGTGTAGTGAAATGTTCTCTCCATCACATCTCTTCCCCTTCCATAAATCTCCACTGCGCGCCGTGACATCTCACCCAGCTCTGATGTGCTGTCCAAGTTTTATTAGCAGACTTGAGAGAGTGGAACGGCGTGTCGCTGTGGAGCACAGGAGCGGCTTTTTAAAAGTTGTCCTGTGCAAATTTGCAGGCTGCAGATTAAACGGCAGAGTGAGAACTGCTCCCCGCTGCCATCACATGGTTCATTGATGTCCCAATTAGTTGTGGAGGGAGGGTGGTTTCCACCACTGCTTCTTCAAGAGAGCTGGATCAGGAGAGATTACAATTTATACACTGCAGTCAAAAGGTCGGACATACCTACTCCTTCTTCACTATATGCACATGTACACAAACTCGCTCCTCTAGAAAAACAGACTAGGAATATTAATAACTTACCTTGCACTGTGCTGAATTCTGTCCAGCCAAATTAAGCTGATTTTTGGTTTTTAATGATCATGAAAGTCTAAATTTAGTAAAGTGAGGCTGAACTTTTGGCTGATATTTTATGTTCTGGGTTAGGGATGGGGGGGAAATTGTTCCAGTTGACATTTCCACTCAAGTAATTTTGTTTGTATTTACATTTCAGATATGTTTTAAATATTGAAATTTAGCAGTAAACAAAATCTGTGAGTCAGAGAGCTGGATCAGAAGAGATTACAACTTATACACTGCAGTCAAAAGGTCGGACATACCTACTCCTTCTTCACTATATGCACATG